AAGCCCATACGCTCTGTCGCCCACGATTTATATATATATATATATATATATATATGTTTATTAGGTAACGTTGACAAATATTTTAAACAAGTTTCTTAGGTTAAGGTTTTTAATTTTGCTTTGAAATTGATAATGCATTTTGAGAGTGGATACCGTCCCGACTCATCATTAAATTTCAATTAATTATTTGTATAATTAATACATTAATAATTGATGTTTAATTTGTTTAAACTTGATTTAATTATTTGTATAATTAGCTTTTGAAACTTCATCTGGGTCAGTCCACATACGTAGAATTTCAATTCAAAGTAATAATTTTAATATGCATTATTGTTTGGGTGTATAAATCTTGAAATTGGTTTCAAAATTTTGTTGTAGACCCAATAATTTAGAGGTCAACTACATTATTATAGCCGCCGGCCATTTTCCATAACAATAAATTATATTATATGATGATTATAAACGTGATTAGTGCAATTAAAAAGTTATTGGATTAAAAACTTTGAAATTTCCTTTTGCTTGGATAGATTATGATTCATGTTCTTTGACTTTTAAGTTGTGTTTAGGAAAATGACTTGAGAAATAAGTGTCAACCACAAAATATGATTGTGATCTTTTGAATTTTGAGAATTATCACTCCTTAGCTTTTTAATTCTGTCTCTAATCATCATTTTATATATGAAATGTGAATAACATGTTTTCCTCTCTTTGAATTTTCAAAAGGGTGCTTTTGTTTTTTTTTGGGTCTCTTCGATGCTTGAAATAATTTTACGTGAGAAACTACCGAATTCAATCACTTGTTGATGTTATTATTCAATTTTCTATTGAGATTTATACAACAGATGTATTCAAATTGGATCAACGATTGATATTTAGTTTTCAGTCCGTGATAAACACTCTCGTAGATGAAAGACTTTGTAAATTCAAGATTTTAACTTTATATCAATTCATATAATTTTATCTTATTTATTATGCAGATAATCTTCTATAATTATATCCGTATTTAAGTGAATTGAATTGAATTTAATTTTATTTACTTCAATATATTCAGAATAAACATATTTTTCTCGTTTCAATCAAATTAAATTTTGAATTATAGGAACTCAAAACTAATAAAAATAAAAATTATAGAAGTACAACATTTAATATGAAAATTACATATTCCTAACCACTGAAAAATTTTGGACCATAAAAGACGATATGGTGTGTGTGTATATATATATATATATATATAGATATATAATTTCACAATCAATTTGAAGAGATGGTTTGGCTTTTTACTCAGTTAATTATATGGACATTATAGAACATTGATTGTCAATTTGGCGTCGGCTAGTGTAAGCATATATATATATATATATATATATGTAATGTGCAATTGTCAAATATATATAAATTTTGTATGAGCATCTTAAGCATGTCATTTAGCATCAAGGAATCATTGGAACTATAACATGGAGTATTTAAGCTCATCAAACTTTCTATAACCATGACTTTCAAAATTATAGTTTATGCTTTTTAATTACCATTTCCTAAAAAATAGTGTGATTGTGTGTCATATATATATATATATATATATATATATAAACCTTATAATGACCTTGATTAACCAACCAAGAGAGTAAATTATTTTAAAATTTGGAATTAAGACAAAAAAACTTGGGTAAGCAAATATTAATCTGTGATAGAAGATTCCAATTTGGTAGTTTGGCACAATTGTCCTGTCTTATCTTCATCAACTTGCAACTATATATACCATTATTAGAGTTTGTTAACCTAATTAGAGTGTGTGTATATATATATATATATATATATATATATGAATATATAGTTTTTTAGAAACTATTATGAATGCTTAAAAAGACCACCTAATTATTCACTCAACAATGCATGTATATATATATATATATATATATATTTATTCACCCAAAGAACAACACATATATACACACACACACACAGACACACACATAAGGGAAGAACAATTTATATATGCACTCACATATAAGGAAATAAACAAGTATTCTTTTTGTTTTGTACTCTACCAACAACACAAAACAAAGATCTAATTGGTTAAACTAGCTAACAACAAATTATTATAAGAACATATTATTATATATATAGATAAACAAATTAATTTTTTTTATATAAATTTAAGTTAAGAAGATGGTTCATTCATAATATTTTAATTAAAGATTATAAGTTCAAACTTTAAAAATTGTATTTTTCATTAGGCATAAGTATATTCCTCTATTATATGATGTAAGGGGTAGTGTTCAAAATATAACATCAATTATCTATATCTGAATTGTTTTTTATTTAATCTTGACATTGCATTTGACTTAAATATAGTTTAAAGTAAATTAATTTTAGAATTTAATTACTTAATAACTATAAAATAACTATAATTTATATACAGTATCTTGTATAATTGGAGAAACTCTACTTAAATATTTAAATTTACAACTAAGTATATACATTAATATGTATCAATAAATAAATTACAAATGTAAAGGATCGGAACTTAAAAGAAAATAAAGTCATAAATTAAATGCGGAAGCGAAATAATAAAATTTAGGATTTATATTCCTTACACAATAATTTAGAATATTCAATAGGGATACGAGAATGTCCATTCTAAAAGAATAAACGAAAATCAAAGAAATAAACAAAAGACAATCTATTGAGCATTCTAGAACGACTTTCACTAGCCTTTGAAGAGAGTTTGGGTAGTGAACTATTCATAACCCGCTTGTTGATCGGGATCTGGGTCTTAGCTCTCTTGATATGAAATAGTTAATGAAAGAGTGAGTTACACTAGTTCAGTAAGAATATCACACTACTCACTGATACAGAAACTGAAGGTTGGTAAAAATTATAAAAACAATCAATGCAGCTCTTGATTTAAGTAAATTCATTTATCATAAGAAAAATCATTTATTGCATATATTTACCACTGTGATATTTCTAAAATCGACCTATAGAGACAATGACTCAAATAACATCATAATCTCATTTTCAAGTGAGCAATAATAACCACTTTTCCTTTTTATTTGTCTATTGGTATC